ACAAAGTAACTGGCGTTACTTTTTTGAAAAAGTAACTCAGATATTTTCTTGTAAATTAAAAAAGTAATGCGTTACTTTACTAGTTACTTGAAAAAAAGTAATCTGATTACTTAACTCGCGTTACTTGTAATGCGTTACCCCCAACACTGCATATAAGTAATTAATATAATGTTAAACATTCAATATTCACGCCTGTTTAGCGGATGTGCGCGAGCTGATAAGCAGAGAGCGCTGAGTGGATTGAGCGAGCGGCGGCACAGATGCGTGAGCTTGTCGAGTGAATATCTCACAGACATCAATGGAAAGTTTGTAAGTCGGTCGGATATGTCAAAAGCAAGCAAGTAAAACAATGCACAAGTTACTTAAGTTATTTGACGGTAAGGAGAGGGAGAGCGAGAGAGTCAGAGAGTGAACACTCCTGTTGCATGATCTTGATTGCTGTTCACTCCATAAGCGCAAGTGAATTATATGAGGGTCCGTGTACAGTGCGCGTGAAGCAAATTACATCACCAAAATAGCAAGCGCATACTCGTATAATGTATAACGAGTGGTTCCCTGCATTATTTTAGGAAAACGTCTCATGATTACCGTATTGAGCTGCTGCAGTGGAGCAGCTAATGCGCCATTAAAATTAACAGTGAAAGTAACAAAAAATTACAAATGCTGTGAAAATACAGGTATCGGTATCGGCGATTACCAAAAATAAAAGTATCGGACTCGTTCTGAAAAAAGTGGTATCGGTGCATCCTTATTATGGCGCTTTTCCACTGCGTGGTACGACTCGGCTCAGTACAGCTAGAGAGTACTCATTAGAGAGTATGGGCTGCTTCTGGTGCTTGGATTTTTGCTTCAATAAAATTGTGACCCTGGACCACAAAACCAGTCATAAGTAGCTGGGGTATATTTGTAGCAATAGCCAAAAATAAATTGTATGGGTCAAAATTATTGATTTTTCTTTTATGCCAAAAATCATTAGGATATTAAGTATATTGTCCTATCCTAACAAACCATACATCAATGGAAAGCTTATTCATTCAGCTTTCAGATGATGTATAACTCTCAATTTCAAAATATTTGACCCTTATGACTGGTTTTGTGGTCCAGGGTCACAAATGAGGTCCAAGTTTAAGAATGCGCTAGAAGTTAAATTCTTTAAATGTATTTTCCCCCTCTATTTAACAGCATTAACCTACAGTAGTGAAAGACGTCTTCCCTCAGGTAGATTAAATGTTTTCCTGCCTTGCTAAATGTTGGGCTCATGATCAATAAGTTGCATTCGCCCAAACTGATTTGCCAAAATCAAATCGCGGACGTAAGCGAGTCCCGCTCGCTGTGAAGCGAGAGCCGGCAGAGGATTCCGCTTGGTCTTAAAGCCTTCATCAAACGGCTACGTTCACAAATAAAACAATATTTTGCGCATAAATAATAATTAATTATCAATTGAGAATTTTTTATTCATATGGTCTGGTGACCACCATATATGGCGTATGCCTGCGAATACGGGACAAACCGTGTTATAGCTTTCATACGGGACGC